TTACATTTCTGGTTTGTCTTCTACACTGGTAATGCAATTGTCAACATAAAAACTACCTTTCAGTTTTTCTATAATGGAATGTGATCAGTGTCTTTCTCCTTGTTCAGTAAGCTTAAGTTCCTTTGTTAAATGATGATTAATAATTGCTGCTAATAGAAAAGGGCTGCATGTAACACAAAAGACTATTTAATTGTGACACAAAATTTGTAAATTTCCTTCTGTGTCAAACCGCAGAAAAAACTGAGGTACCGTAACTTTGGGTGGATAAGCCACCCTGGCATATATGCTGCACAAATGATAATTGACTGAATAAAAAATAGTTCATCAGATAAGCTTCAATGACGTATGCATCACAGCAAAGCATTCCAAAACATGGCACTTAATATGTATTTATTCAGTAACTCCCTGCCATATTGATGTTATCGTCGATAACATTTTATAGTATTTACGACATAATCGGTAATATATAAATAAATAAGAAACAAACGTTTTACCTTGAACTTGCCAAAAACAAACTCTGATGATTTCTGATTAATATTATTGTTACGGGTTAAGTAAGCTTCATTTATCACCATAAAATACCATATTATATATATATGAAAATACCATATTATATATATATGAAAAGGAATATGTAAATTAGGTAGTCAAACAGAATTTTATAATTAAATTTAACTACTTTTATTAGTACAAAATCTTCAAAAGCCCACTCATCAATGTTAGAATTAAATAAATTTAACAAATGACCATCAAGGTCAGTTTCATCATTCTCTTCTAAATCACTTCATCTTCATTTTCATTTTCTTTTTCAATGATTTCCAATTTAATAAATAATTTAATAATACAATTGCTTTCAGCTCAGACTGATTGCTATGTTTTATTGACCCATAGGGCAGCCTTCCCATACAAAGATTTTCTCATTTGTCTGGAATTTCTGAAGGAATGGAGCCACTTTGCATCCATTCCTCCCACTGCTTTCAGAGCTCATGCTTGAAAACTCTATTAATGGTGAGATCTAGCAGCTGTAAAATTTTTTAAGCCCACCTTTTATCACTGATACATTGGTGCTAAGTTTTTTGCTTCGGATATGACTGTATCCGCTAAATGGGATTGTATTGAATCCAGAACACTGAGTCCTCAGGGTTGGAAAAAAGCACCTTTCTTTTTTTCAATAAATTTGTCTCAGCCAACACAACGTCACTTCTTCATGCATCCATCTTTTTTTGTTAGCACAAATAATTATTCCTTTAGGGAAGTTTCCTTTCAAACTGTTTTTCTTTTGAAAGTTATTGAAGGGGTTAACTTCTCTCCATTGGTGGCACAACCTGAAACACAAGTAAAAGAAGGCTTTCATTCATGTTGTGTTTCAGTTTTGTTTGAAATAAATAAATTAAATTATCAATGTGATTTGCTGCCCTTCCTCCAACTTATTGTCTTTGCCAGACTTTTTAACAATTCATCTAAAACAGGATTCTACCAACAGAATCTACAGAATAATATGTACACGTTTCAATTGTTACACCCAGAGGTTGTAATCTGCCATGCAAAGCTTAAAGGTAAGAATATTAGACTATTGCTACTGAAGTCTCAGCTGTCAATCATGGTATACATTTTTATCCCTGTGCAAAATATCAAAATAGCAAACCCCATATTGGATCTTTCTTTGATATTTTTGCTTGGTATCAAGTCTTGTGTTTTCTGCACATCAAAAGCTGTTCTAGAATCATTTTGAGGAGGCTTGTCTGCAGAGATTTCTAAATTCCAGCGAACTTGGTTCCACCTTAAAAAAAATAGTTGTAAAGTTTTTAATAACTTGTTCTTTTTTGGTACTGTTTAGGATTTAAAAGTTTACTCAGAACTACGTTGAGATAGTTTGCTCAAACAGGATGCTGAAAAGGAAAAATTTTTAAAGGGAATTTTTAAAGTGAGCCAGAAAAGGTTGGGAGACTATGATTTAACCCTCTGAATGGTGCAGATTTTTAGATTTGCTTGAGGAGCTGTAGTCAAACAGCATTTATTAGCTGGATTAGTGCAGTTATTTATTTTATTTTTTGTGTTATAACCTTCGTTCATTAAGGCAACATTCAAATTATTGTTAAATGTAAGAAAGCAATATATTTTAAATAACTAGGTATCTGGTTATTAAGAAAAATTTCCACTGAAAAACGTTCTTAATAAAGTTAGGGGGGAAAACATGAAAGCAGTACCTTTAGTGTGAGTAGTAATCACCACCTAAATATATGAATTTCTGCCAGTGTTTTGGTAGTTTTTCAAAGTATTCAGCCCAGAAACTTGGTGGTCACAAGTCCAAAAACAGATCAACCTCATTTGGGATGTCCTGTGCAGAATGGAAATTAGCACCAGCAAGATGTTGCTGCAAGTTTGAACAAAGGTAGAAGACCGAAGTAGCGATGTTTGGACTATATGGAAGGTGTGGCAAAAAATCCCATTCGAGTCCATACAAAATCCAGAAAATGATTGCAGACACATGTGATCTTGCATTATCTTAATGGAACATTACTTTTTTGCACTGAAACTCAGTTCGACATTTGATAGCAGCGTCAATACCAGACTAGCGTCTTGCTGTACACCTTACTGTCAAGGCTTTTACCTTTTTTCAGATACTCTTTGTGGATGCCACCATGGCAACCCCACCAAAGTATTATAATTTTGTTACTGTATTTGATGGCATATAAGACGCACCCTTATTTAGAAGGCCACACACATGTAGATGTAGAAAAAGTTATGTGTGTCTAGACCTTTATCCGGGCCTAAAAATAGCATTCAGTATTGAAAGTTAACCTGTGTCCTTCACGTATAAGACGCAGGTAACTTTTTAAAGACCAAATTTGGGAAAAAAAGTGCATCTTATATGCCATCAAATACGGTAATCAAATTGTACTTTGCGAGGGGCACACAAGGTACAGACGAACCCCCCTTTTCAGCCTGTGGTGTTGAAGTAAATCCACTTTTAAACACAAGTGATGATCTGGTTCAGAATTTTGTCCTTTCATTGATATTCAAGCAGATTAGTGCAAGCCCAAACACATCTGTCCTTATCTGCTTGAGTCAGCTTATGCAGCACCTAGCAATTGAACTTGTACACTGCACAAAAAAAAAAGGGACAGTTCTATATCTCCCATTCTACTGGGCTGATTGACAAAATTCAAATTCCGTTTTTTGGTGTCTCGAAAGCGTGACTTAGGATATATATTATATATATACACACCAATACCACTGTTCTAACATAGGTATTTTGACACAAAATCAAACTTTTTCTGAAATAACATACCAATTTTTTTCTGCATTTCGATTCTACGACTCAAATTATGCCGAGCTATTAAATTTTGTAAAATTTGGTGTGAAACTTACTGAGAAATTCAAAAATTTATCTTGCCAAAGTTTTTTCAGTTTGGCCAAGAATAATTTATTTGGTGAACTTCTTAATATATGGCAACCAATTTTCCTTTCCTTTCACTTCCATTATGCTGGAGCGGAAAAAGAGGCACCTCATTCCTACCTTCTTACATTGTGTATGAGAGGGGAAAAAGTCTCATCATTTCTACTTCCAAATATTTTAGCAGGGTGTTTAAACCACATCTGATGTTTTATCGCTTTCAACAATTATACTAAATTTCAAAGAGCACCAGTATATAAATTCACATATATCTTCGGAAATTTTGAATAAAATATTGTAATTTTTTGTGGGTATGCTTAAGTACATCTACCTTAAGATGATGTTAAAACTTTTATAGCTTATAATTCAACATTTTTTTGAAAAATTTATAAAAATTATTTAAAAATGTAATTTTTTAAAATAAATCGTGAAAGATGAGCGAATTATATTTGGAATGATCCTGTGAATCAAAATGTGAAAGGAAGAATCAAATAAGCTTAATAAAAAATAGAGATTAACCAATATATACCAAACTCAATTAACATTGAGGAGCTAATTTTTTTGAAAACTACTCCTGCGATTTTTACAAAACTTGGTAGTTTAGCGTAATTAAAGTCATAGAATTGAAATATGGAAAAAAATTGGTATGTTATTTCAGAAAAAGTCCGATTTTTGTGTCAAAATACCGATATTAGAATAATGCTATATATAAATCTAATAGATATCCTAAGTCGCACTTTCGAGACATGAAAAACTCAAGTTGAATTTAAAAATTTCGTCAATTGGCCCAGTAGAACCAGAGATATAGAGCTGTCCCCCCCCCTTTTTTTTTTTTTTTTTTTTTTTTTGCTGCAGTGTATATCAAGTTTATGCAATTATACAATGCATAGTGTGACTAATGGACATGGCACTAATGTGTAACTCCTTAGCAAGCTCTCTAGTGGTTGCATACTGATCTTCTTTCACAAGTTTTCACAAGCAGGCCTCATCAGCATCAATAGGCTGGTCAGAACGCTGTACTTCTTGAATTTCATAGTCCGTGTTTTTGAACTTTCAATTTCACAGTGTCATATGATACAACATTAGTACTTAAAGCTGTACACATGATTGGATGACATACTGTAGCTGACTTTTTGCAACAGAACTGGAAGTAAATTATGGTTCTGATCCGATAGCGTAATAGCTTTGTTTCAGACACCTTGTACTCAATAACGATATTTTTTTACAAATTTCACAACACAGTGTTCTAAAGCAAGTCTCTTTCTTTCAAATGCTGGAAATCGTTTGACAAAATCTGATTAAACGTGGCAACGTTAACTGTTTGCGCAGACAATATTTGCAGTGGCAGGAAACTTTCATTAAAACCTGGTGTTATCTCATGACCAGTATATCTCATAACCAGATAAAAGCTGTCCAGTTGCTTAGATGGTTAAAAAAATTGAAATTGATCACTTATGAATACTGTCGTTTATTTTTAAATCCATGTTGTTATTCAGGAAATATATCTTTCTGATTTAAAATTCTTCTCTATGCTAATTTAAAATATACACAAATTGATTTATTTATTTAATCTTAATTATCTTACAAAAAGTGTATTTTTCAGTTTGATAATGTGAAAAGAGTGTACAAGATAGTTGAAGACAGTAGTGGTGAACTAGTTAAAAGCATACGGAGCACGTTTTTGCTTTCAGAATGTCTTGCAAGGTAATTTTTTATGCTTTTTTTCTCAGTAAAATGGGGACTGTTTGTTTCAATGCCGTACATCAGGTTGTTACTTTGTATTATTGCTAGTCGTGATACGTAGTATAACTAATAATGATTTTAAAATGTATGACTTTTACTTTTTTTAATTTTAGTATATTTATTTTTATTACATTTAAACCCTACTGTAGTGAATGCTACTTGTAACAAACACATGATCCAATGAACAGTTTTTGATAAGTATTCTCATGCACCTGAAATACACAAGCTTTTTTTCATGAAGTCAGTGCAAGCCAGAACTTTATACAGACGCTATAAAAAATATGGATCATTCCTCATGCATGGCAAGAAGTTCATGTTAGCCAGTGATCAAAAACTGTCCTTCTTGGAAAATTATAGAAATCTTTTTTTTTTTTTTTTTTTTTTCTTTCGTTCCATAAAGTACTGCAGTTTCGGGTAGATAAGCCACTGCTTGTACATGTTTCAAAGTTAAAAATTTAGCTTTGCATCATATCTGAAAGCATTTATTTTCCCTTTGTCTTTAAAACTTCGTTAGTGTAGATAGTAAGTTATACATAAGTGAAATGGGTAATATGGAATTAACTCTGATATTTTAGCATGTTAGAGTAGTCAAATTGCACTAAGACAGTGAAACAAATTCAAACTTGTATGAAACTTGCTTAAGTGTGATAGGATAAACTTAATGTAGAGACACCGTATTTTCTTTATGCATGTATTTTCTGCTGAACTCTGTGGTTTTCCTTGCGTTTTCCTATGGACCTCTTCTTTTTAAAGGGCCATAAAAACTTTTATTTCGCCTAGTTTTGTGTTCATTCTAACATGTTCTCACTGCTTTGTAGCTTGCATATTGTTTACTTGTTGCAGTGCTTACTTTATCATTTGTGCTTGATGAATTTTTTAAATTATTATTGTGGCTCCTACTGGAAGAAAGAGTTATACAGCTGCTTTTGAACTTTCAGCAGTGAAGAAAGCATTATGAATTGGAAATTGGGCTGCATTAGAGAATTTTAAGTTGATAAGAGCTGCATTTGTCAGAGAAAGTCCAAACAAAAAAAATTAGAGAAAATGCATAAGAATTAAAGATCTTGTCAGACTGGTATTGTAGCCTGGTCTGATTGGGAAGACAATTCAGTGAACTAAACAATAAAACAGAGGAAAAAAATGATTATCAGCGTCAGCAGTTAAAATTACCCTTTAAGCAAAAGTAATTGTTCAACAAATGGATATTATTATTATTATAAAAATGTTGTTGGAGAACTTAGTTTCTGTTTGATAAAATGAAAGGAATTACCTGACAGGACAACAGTTGGACAGAAGCTTCCCATGGACTGGCTTGGAAACAGATAGTTTTTTTTTTTTTTTTTTTGAGAACAAAATTATCATTTAAGAAAATTAAAGAACAAAATTGGAATAGAAGGCAAATAATTAATGTAGACGAAATGCCCATTACATTTGACTGTTCTATGAGCAGAATTGTTCATTCAACAGAAAAACTGTTTCTGTTTTTTTTTTTTTTTTTTTTTTTTTTTTTTTTTTTTTTTTTTTTTTCATTCTTTGGTAATGAAAAATCATCTTTTATTTCTGTTTTAAGTTGTGCTACCAATAGAGAGAAGTTATCTCCTGTGATAATTTTTAAAAGGAATGAATCTGAAAGGAAACTTCCCCAAGGAGGTCATTGTTTACGCCAACAAAAAAGGATGGATATACAAAAAAGTGATGTCTTGGCTAACAAAAATTTATTGAAAACGGAAAGGTACTTTTTTCCAAGCTCAGACACTTATACAGTTCAAAGTCCATAATCCGGACCTCAAAGACACAAACTTTTTTTTTGTATGCTTTGCACATGCGCTTTGGGAGGATGTGTCTCCAGTTAAGTTAAAAAATGCTTGTCTTAATTTATGGCCAGCTACCATATTTCATGGTGAGGACAATGAAGATGATAGCCACGAATTTGAATGTTTTCGGACATTGCAAACTAAAAGTGAAATTTTCCAGTTATTGGATTTTGTAAAGAAATGTGGAGAAGTGGTAATAAATAAAGATGATATAACAGAAGTCTTTCATTGCAACAACAATGCTCCAATTATCAATCAATTAATGGACAGCGAAGTCTAAAGTATGGTTCTAGATCCAGAAAACAACTACGATAGAGAAGAAAGTGACGAGAGGTTATTGAAAATGAAACATTCGTTTGACAAGTTAGTCGGTATTTCGACACAGCAATTACAGGACTTGAACAGTGGAACTTTGTAACTGAACAAGAAATTATGTCTGTTATAGAATTAAAGAGAAAGTATTACACAAAAAATCGAAGCACTTAACAAACTTACATTGAAAGAAATGTTTAATAAACTAAACATTTTTTTTTTTTTTTTGTAAATTTTCATATCCTTTAGATTATAATTGCTCTTTATTTCATAAATTACGATTTCATATTTTTAATTGTATAATTTCTGCATGCCATCTTACCAGATTTAAATTGATGATCTATAATCTGGCAAAACCCCTAATCCTGAATCACCAAAGTCCCTACAAGTCCGGATTATGGACTTTGTACTGTAGTTCTGGATTCATTGTGACCCCATTTAGTAGATACTGTAGAATCCAACACAAAAAGAACTTAACACTGCTGTCTCAGTGATACAGGGTGGTCTCACAAAAATTTTACAGCCTCTTGATCTCACCATCAGTAGAATTTTCAAACACAAGCTACAAAAGCAGTGGGAGGAATGGATGTGTAGTGAACTCCATTCCTTCACAAATACCGATTTGGAGAGAAAAGCTACGTAGGAGGAGGCTCCCTTATGGATCAATGAAGCATGACACTCAATGCGAGCAGATACAATTGTATTGGCTTTCATTTAATTGGAAATCATTGAGAAAGAAAATGAAGATGGCGATGTTGAAAGAAGTGATATAGAACAGAATGATAAAAGTGACCTTGATGGTTATTTCTTATTTAATTCTGACACTGATGAGTTGGATTTGAAGGTTTTGATAAGAAAATGTAGATTAATTATAAAATTATGTTTGAATATCTAATTTATGTATGTATTCTTTTTGATAATGTGGTAATTTATGGTAGTAACGAAAGCTCTGCCAGCCTGTAAAAATAATGTGTATTAGAAATCAGCAGAGTTCGTTTTTGACAAGTTATAGTAATATGTTTATTTTTTTTATTTATTTATATAGCATTGATTATATATATGTTGTAAAAGCTATAAAGTGTTATCAATGAAGATTACATCAATATGGAAGGGTATTACTAAAAAATTGAATATTAAGTACCATGTTTTGGAATGCTTTGCTGCACCATATGTGGCAGTGTAGCTTATGCCCTGAAATTTCCTTTTTTAAGTCAATTTTTATGTGTGTAGTGTATATGCTAGTGTGGCTTGGCTTATCTACCAGAAAGAGTGGTATTTTATATACCTCATATCTGTTACAATTATATCATCCTTTGCTTTTATGTTGACCTATTATTGAATTGTATTATTAACATTTCTGTGTATAAATGCGACTGTTTTTCACCCCTCTCATTTGGTATGTAATTATCTTCCAAAAATAGTGTAATCATAAAGTTGTAATGCTTGTGTGATTTTTACATTACAATGGCTCACATTTGTTTTCAGACACTTGTATTTTATCAGATGCAGTTTGGCAACTTTCATGATTTTCAAAAAAGATTCTCAAACAATCCATTTTTATCATTAGTTGGTAAACATTATCGACATATAAAAAGGAAGCATATTTTAACAATTTAAAATACAAATTTTAATTATTAAAGATTATATTATACATTAATAAAATACTTTCTTCTCCAGATCTTGTTGGAGTTTTTTTGCTATTCTCCCCAAGTGCACAGCAGTCTGTTTTAACTTAAAAAAAAAATCAGAGAATTGCAGACTCAGCATAATGTAAAACCTCAGTAATAACAGCTGTCTACTCAATATATCTTCTCAATGTCCCCTTTAGAGATTTATCCACAGTTTCTTCAATTGCTGACGAATTCCACAAGCCCATATTTTAAAAGTCTGACAAAAAATATAATTTATTTATAAAAACCATTTGAACTTGGAATGCAACAAAAGGAACACATCTGAAGATGGTAACATTACTTAACTAAACGATTGTTATGAACACCGTTGCCTGTAGAATGCTTATGCACGCGGTTGCCAGAGTTTGGCACATTCTGTAAATTTGGTGACTTCTACTAAGGTAGTTTCAATAACATGTAAGTGTGCAAAAATTAGGTATACAGTGTGATTTTTTAAATGAAGTGATTTATCTTTTCAGAAATTCTCTTTGTCACTATTTTTAAATAATAATATTATTAATGAGCTGAAGCTGTCTCTGAGCACACAAAGTGACCTTTGTAAAACTAAGTTCTTTCACATATCAGATTTGAATCTCATTCTTTAAGCATTGCTTTATAACTATATAACTATATTATTATTTAAATATTTACTTGTTAATGACCGTGTATTTGCTGTATGATCTCTTATGGTAGAATATGAAAACTGAAATTTTGGTTTGTTGGCTCCGTACCTGTGTTTTAGTTTCTGTGTGTTATATTAAAACAGTACGATAGCACTTTTATGATGCCATATCTTTAATAAGGAAATTTCTTTCATATTTACATAGAGAGGTGGTATAATATATTGCAGACTTTTACACCTTGCCTAGAATACCTTAATTGAATTTCAGAAATTTCATATAAAAATTATATTTATGGCTAAATGTTAGACCTTAATTTTTTAAGTACGTGTAACAACAAGTATTTGAATTAAAAGTACTTTTTGTTACAGAGGTTAAGTTCTTTCATTTATATTATAAAATAGCTGTTCTTTTAATTTCAGAAAATATGCTGCTATTGCCTACCTAACTAGTAATCGATTTGAAACCAGTAAGAAAAAATTGCAGTACTTGACTTTTGATGATTTTCTGTTTTGTGCTAACTGGATGATGTGCAATTGGTCATGTCCAAAGCCAGGTAGGAAATATTTTCATTCCTACCTATCTTATGTGCATCAAGTCCAGTATTTTCGAAGTTATTTTATAACAATATTAAGAGCCTGAAAATTGATACAGTACAAATTGAAGTTATCTCTAGTTAATTACTTCCTTAATTCTTCTGTCTTTTTTTCAATTCTTTCCTCAAATTTTTTAGCATGTACAGGGGCAAGTTACGTGTTGTGTTGAGACTTATATAACAATTAGATTTATATTTGTTTTCAAATGATCATAATATGGGAATACAGTAGAAGTCCAGAAATCCGCAACGCTTGGGACCAGAGGTTGTGCGGATTTCAGGACAGAAAAGATAATATTCAGACTAAAAGATATTAATACGATAATTGATTATATGCATTAAATTGTTATTACATACATAAACTGGTTATATTATATTTTTCATTTACATTAGGCTCTTCTATTTTTAAATCAGCATGAATCTGCTTTCCCTTTTCTCTCAGGAGTACAGGTTAGGCTTGGCACTGGCCTGAAATAGGAACCCCATCACTCTGCCGCTGCCGGAACCACTTGTACAAGACAGCATCAAGGTTTGCCAATTTCGCCTCATGTAAAGATTTCCGGTTTGGGATTCTGATGTCAGAATCACTGTTGCTGTAAAATTTCAACAACTTTTTTTATTGTTCCGTATATCATGCATAGTTGCTGTGGCAATTCCATACGATTCTGCTATAAACCGAGCAGTAGCACCTGCCTCCATCTTTTTCAGAATTTGCACTTTTTGTGTTACCGTCAATGCTACGTGTTTACGTTTTTCAACGTTGCAAGCAGTAAAATCATGAGTGCGTTCATATTAACAATGCCATTCATATTAACTGCGCCCATCAGCTCCTGAGCGGTAAAGTCGCTGAACACTGGTAGTTTGGTCCGAGGTTCGAATCCCGCAAACAGGCTAGCTGCATGGGCGTTTTTGTAGCTTTCCCCATATGTAACATGTATACGAGCCTGTTCCCTTAGAAAGTCCTCCACGAAGGCATCCCTCCCCTTAGTCAGATAGCCCTAGTGTGCTTTGCCATAATTAAATAAACAAAACCAAGCATCACCAAAATCATACAGAAAAGATGATGTCAATTATGAAAGTGAAATGAAAACTTGAGAGATATGATGATAATGATGATCAGTAGCAAGAAATATAATAAATCAAACTGGGATAACTCCTCAAGTGTTTAAATGTGCAAATGAAAATAATGCAAAGAACTATGGGAGGAAATAAAAAATGAAATGGCAGCAAAAACAGAAGATGTTTAAGTCAAGTGTAGAACAGAATTAGGATAACTGAAATTAAAGCAAGATGAATTTGTAGTTGATTACATGAACAGAGCTGTAGTTCTGAAATGTATTAAAGTGGGGAATGAAATAAAAGGCAAAGAATTAATTTATTTCATATTAGAAGGACTTAAGAATATATTTGAATTTAATGTCAGAATCATTATAAATAGCAGAGAAAAGCAGGTAACTGCAATTAGACAAGCATTAAAGGAAATTGAAGGGGAAAAAATAAATAGAGACAAAAAGAAATAGAAGTAATAAAGCAAAAGAGTGGTCAAAATCAAATTATCATGAAAGAAGATGCTTCAACTATGGAAAATTAGGACATTTAATAAAAGAGTGTTATAATAGTAATGCAAAATGTTTTAGTTGTGGAAAATTAGGCTACATATTAATTGAGCAAAGAAAAAAAAACTAAAGAACATAGAAAGCTGAGAAATTTAATGAATAAAATTCCTACAATGTGAAGCAAAGAAAGAGAATATGAATCAGCTAAATGTTTATGAGAATATCTAAGAAAATAGAAGAAATTTCATCTTTTAATCAAGATAGAAATGATGATGAGAATGAAATATCAGAACAAGGCAGTAGGAAAATTAAATGTATTATAGATTCAGGAGCTACATGTCTTCTGGCAAGAGATGAAGAAATATTTATCATTTTTAAGGATGAAGAGAGTCTAATAATGACAACTGAAAAGCAAGCTGTGATCAAATCAGTTGGTATTGGTAACATCATTAAGGCAAACTCATAGAAATAAGATATTTCTGCAAGTACCAAATTAAGTGAAAATTTACTGTCAGTACCAAAAATTGTAGATTATGATTTAAAAATAATTTTTACCAAAATGAAAGCAGAAATGATATAAACATGAAAACATTCTGTATGTATCTAACAGAAATGGAAATAAATTTGAAGGAAATATAGTAGAAGCTAAAATTAGTAATGTTAATGATGTACTATGGCATCAGAGATTAGGTCACCTAAACTGTGAAAGATTGGCAGAAATGAAGAAAAACCCATCAGTCAGGGGATTAGAAAATGTAAACATTTCCAAGAATAATTGTAAATTATGTGCATTAGGAAAATTGACACAAACTTTTTTTGAAATTAAATGAACTATTGTGAAATTTAGGCAGTATAAAAGATATTTTAGAATAATGGCATATAGATTTAATTGGACCAATCAAAAAGTCAATAGATGGAAGTTATTTTCTGACAATGGTAGATGATTATAGTAGCTTCATGTTTTTGATTACAATTGAGAAAAAGTGAAACTGCAGAATCTGTAATAAAGCTTATCACTCAAGAAGAAAGACAAACAGGAAACAATAAAAAGAATTTGCAGTGATAATAGTGAATTCATAGCTAAAAGTATGAAAGAATTTTTTGGAAAAATTAAAAACTTTTTGAAATAAACATGAACTTATAATGCCTTATGCTTGGGAGAGTAATGGAAAAGCTGAATGTTTTAATTGCACAATTAATCAAAATTACTAGAACTATGTTGATTGATGCAGAAGGATTTTTGCCGTGAAAATGTAGAAATAGCTGTAGATGTGAATAACAGGAGTCACAAAAATGACAAAACATTTACACCTGATGAACTATATACAGGGTACTAGTCTAACATTATTTACTTTAAAAGATTTGGATGTGGAGCATATGTTCACATAAGACAAGAAAAACCTGGAAAGATTAATCTATAAGCTTAAAAAGAAGTAGACTGTTGTATGAAGAGAAAGGCTTACAAAATTTATAGTCCTGAACTAAATAAAATTCAACAAGTGAGAGATGTAAAATTAAATGAGCAAGTACTCAGATCAGCCTAACTGAAAAGAAATTATTTAAAATTCAATAAAAATCAATTATTAAAAGAAATTATTATTTCTATGAAAGCAATTCAGGAATAACAAATGTCAGAGAAATGATATAACAGATCAAGAATATGAGGAAATTTTGCTATCAAACTCAGATGATGAACATAGTGAAAACAGTTAATTGGAAATGCCAATTACAGAGTCCCCTCAAGTAAGCGAAGAACATGGAAATGAAAGTCATGACAAGTCTGTACAGAAGAGACCATAAAAACCATTGGATATTCACTAAAAGGAAAGAAAAGCTTAATTTAGAAATAATTTACAAACCAAGGCTAGTAGCAACCGGATTTAACCAAAGAAAAGAAATTGACTATGAAGATGGATTTACCCCAGTAATGAGACTTAAACCTTTACAACACTTTTATTGATTGCAGTTTACAGAAACTACAAAACAAGATTTTTAGATGTAAAAATTGTGTATTTAAACAGACACTTACGCACACAAGCTAATTTACATGGAACAATCACTTGGAATTACTTCAGATCCTAACAAAGCATAATTTGTGAACAGATGTATATATGGATTGGCGAATCATTATTTATTATATTTTGCTTTCATCACCGCATGTTTGTCCAATGCATAACACCTTGAGTAATGACTCATGCAGCGATGCCTAAAAATGTTTTTATATTAGTAATTATATAACAAAGAGTATAGTAACCTTTTCTGTGTACATTATTTGGCAATGATTACAGATTTAAGTGAAATGTGCTAAGATATGTTGACGAGGAAAATTGAACAAAAAAAAAGTCTGAAAGCTTTCAGCTTTTATATTACGCCCAAAGGAGCATTTCTTAACATTTTGTGTGTTACCTTTATTTATTAAATATCGTGTTCTTCACTTAAACCAAAAAATTCAATAGCAGTGTCACAAAATATTTAAAAGAGTATATCTCTAGAATTTCCAATACAGTCTTGTGCGCTGGAGATAAAGATGTTTTCCCCCCTACAGTGTTGCCATTGCTCGCTTTGAAGTCATTGAGTTTCTTAATCAAAAACTTATAAATGCTTTACAAAATGTGAAATATATAACAGAACAAATTCCAAATTCGGGCTTCCATATGCCCATATTCGGGTAGAGACGTACATTATTCAAACTTTGATGGCTCTATGTACCATTGTTTTATCACAGTGCAAGAAACAGACATACATTTATGCAGATTCTTTATTATTTAATTTCTTTAAAATTAAATAAATATAATGCAGGGCTCTAATATTTGGTGACAACAATTTAAAAAATGATTTGCTGTTTATAGTGAACAAACGCCAAAACGAAATTAGTATCCCTTCTGAGAAAATTGCCTGTTTGGACTAAAAATTTATTTCCATATGATAAAAATATATTTTTTTAATGATACTGAGGCCAAAAGATCACATTTACTGCTGTTTGAATTAAGAATAACTGATTTGTTATTTACGTAAACCCAGCACCGGTGCCAGAGCTCATATGGCCACATTGCGTGGCAGAATTTAGGAAAGACAAAATTTTTGGACTTTAGAGAAAATCGAGGAAAAAAAATTAAAGGATGATAAATTTTTTAGAATTTAGGGAAAGCACTGGGTCCAAAAATTTAAAACTTAGGGAGGTGCTTGGTAGCAGAATTTAGGACCCACAGAGACTGCATCAGATATCTAGTTTTAAGATATCTAGCATCTGCCCTCGATAAGCCTTAAGTATATGTGGGAATTTATTTATTCAGGACTCAGATATGCCTTAAGCATGTGCAAGAAAGAGGCATAAGTATAATAAATAACTAATACATTTCAGTCTTAATTTGTCTCAGTGCACAATAGAAGCAAGACAGAATTTAG